TTACTTCATCACACTGGCAACTTATGTTCATTTTGGAGTCTACTATGACTCTGAGATCCCTTTCTGCTGCTGTGCTACTCAGTATGGTACCTCCCAGGCTATAGGCTTGTTGATCCCTCCGTCCTTTATGCCCTGCAGCCAGGGTCTGCCAGCCCCTGCCAGCCCCAGGGGAAGACAGGAAGGAGGGAAGAATTAACCCCCTCTCTGGCTAGCAGGTCCCTGTTAAAGCAAAGTGAGCAGTGTCTTGCCATGTCCCAACCCTGTTCTGGCTAGAGAGCAGAGAAGTGGGACCAGCCCTACTCTGGAGCAGAGCGCAGAGCCCCACCCAGAGAGCATGCTGGGATGCTGGAGGAATCTGGTTCAACTTAAACCGGGAAAGGGTCTGGGACAGACACTGCATAAACTGATTTGAGCCAGAGATGTGTGAAATAACTAAGAAACGTGGAATTAGAAGAATGTTTTACAATAATTATCAGAAGTTTAAGTTAGCAGTGCTGACATTTAAATCAAAGTCTACGGTTAAGTTCCTTGCAGTTGTAGGCAACAACACTTTATTGCTTTATGTAGCCTTAAGTTAACTTGGCTTTCTTCACAACGGCCAGCAGCTTCTTTTTTAAGCTATGATAATGAAACAAGTCTGTGGCAAAAAGGATGTGCCTCATGACAAGTTCTATACCAGCAAAATTGTAAGTCATGGTGTTTCAAGGGATTGCCAGAGGAAAGAGTATCTGACTTATATTAGTAGAGGTCCATACATAGGTCCATATTGTAAAATCGGCACCGATAAAAGGAAAATTGACATTACTGGCAATCAGCTTTTTTTGGCTGATGTGGCCAATAATGTCACCAATAAATACCGTGTGCATGTGCAGCCACAGCATGCACACAGCCACTTTGTAGCTTGGAGAGCAGGGTCCTACTGATAAGTTTGGGGGGGGGGAGAGAAGGGGCAGATTGAAGTCCCTGCGGTGAGGAAGAGAGTGGGGCTGGGGCAGACACTGCCCAGCTTGGGCAGGGCACAGGACTACCTGTGCGTGGGGCGAGAGTGGGTTGCCACTGCAGGTGGAACTGGGATCTTCTCAGTAGGGGGGCTGGGGCTGCACTCAGATGGGCTATGGCTACCCCAAAATTCACCACAGCTCCCTCCCAGCGCTGCCACCGCCCCCCAAGCACGGCCCCAGCCCAAACACCCCCCCTCCCCCCAGCTGGGAAGAACCTGGCACTGGCCCCAGCACGCAGCAGCAATCCACCCACACAGATCTGGGGGAACATTACCCCCCCCATGGCTCCCCCAGTGGTGCACATAGTAGTGAAGCACCCCCACCCACAGTGAGGGAGGAAGTGGGGCTGGGGCAGGGGAATTGATCTGCTCTCCCCCCAATGCCCATTCTCTCCCCCACAACAGACTTACCAGGCAGACGCTGCTTTCCAAGCTGCTGGGCTGCATATTGGCAAATCGGGCCAGTGCTGGCCAATATGGCTTGTTAATATTGGCCATCAATATCAGCCAAAAAAAATTCTTTATCAATGCACCCCTACTGATTAGAAAAATCAAGAGTGCCATCTTGGACTTAAAATTGGGCCACTTGCTTGATGTCAGCAACTTTCTATCTTTCTCCTCCTCCACAGATTCCTACTGACCATCTCCGTTCACTACACTTCCTAAATTCTCTCTCTAACCAGCAGCACCAAAACCGTGATCAGTCTGACAGTTCTATTACCGCCCACATTCTTCTGAATACAGCATGGGTGCGCCTCCCAGAACTATAACTTCACTTTGCTACTACATAGGAAACAGAAGCAGCAGCAAAGGCACTGGCCTGCCTCCTGTTTATAAAACTAAACTGACTTACAGACACTGAATTTTGCACTCATGCAACCTCAGAATGATTCCCTTCATAATCATGAAGGTAAGAGATTTTTCAAGACCCAAGACTTATCCAAAACACTTTGGAGCATGCATCTTAAACTGTATTTTGCAAAGTAAACATCTTTATATCACAATCAGAAAAGTAGGAACGGAAGAGATCTAAGGGTGGAACTCATTTAAAAAAACCCAACCAAAAAAACAAACAAAAAACTTAAAGGAGGCCAGGATTCTTGGTAAGCAAAAAACTGTGGTGACTCAATTTCTCTCCATTCATATCTTTGAAATAAAACATAAAGAAGATTCTAGAGCCAATAAGATAAGAGCTTTGTCTGGCTCCCACAACTCTTTCCTCAGGAAAAACAATATTTTTTCTCCCTTTAGTTTCAGAGACCAAACTGTTGTAAACTGAACTAAGAGTCTATAATTCACACATGCGCACATACACATAATTCATTAGCCCTTTCAGCTCATCCAACTGTTCTTCTTTATTAGCATGGCCTGACTAAAAGCCAAATTCATGTGTTCACAGTGGAGTATTTGGCCGTAAAACCTCTAGGATCAAGTATAATCCACTGAGAAAGCAGGTGATGATGTTAATAAGTTTATGAATAGGAGATAAGTTATGCACAGTTAAAACTGTTAAGTTATTCTCCTGTGGCTATTGCTGAAAAGTTGTTCCAAAAAATCTCAGTTCTCCAACGATCAGAAAGTGTTTGGAAGGGCCATAAAAGGAGGCAGATTACAACATGCCTCAGTATAACTGTAATTAGAACAGGGGGTGGCTGTCAGAGACCAAACCGTCTCTAGCTGTGCCAAGGGATAACCTTGCAAACAGTGGATATGGCTCGATGTCATCTAGACAGGAAATATTAATGCTGAATTATCATCACTACTTATAACATCTACAGATCAAAATTTAGGGCTTAATCCAGGCTGATAAACAAGGTGCCTAAACAAAAAACAATCCAGAATATTCCCTATCACATAAGTCACTAGGCAGCTGAATTCACTTAGCACCTATATTTTTTGGACAGCAGAGATCTTTAAGCACCTAGATTTAAAAACATCCTCACATGCATGACACCACGTAGTATGGGACACAAGATGCTTACATGCTCCCCCGCCACACACCACCAACCAGTCCACTGAAATGCAGGTGCCAGGCAGAATGGTGCCTAAACTCTGCCTGCCTCCCCCGAAAGTCCCTAGATAGGTGCATGTCAAAACACATTGACAATACTGAATTCAGTAAAAAATACAGCAGTCACTCACTTTTACTCAGATGCAGCCAGAACAAAAGAAGGCAACACCTTTATGTGCAATAAACTAGTGGGTAAAGCACTCACGCAGGAAGTGGGAGACCTGAGCTATGGCCCTTTTCCCAGGATCTTTTTTGTCCAATGACCAATGTAAAAATTGAAGAACCAAAGGAGCAGGGATCAGTACACAGGTTTCCCCACTTCCAGTTCTGTTCCTAACCAAGAGAGGGAATTGATCTTGGTCTGCTTCCGGACCCATGATTCCTCCATTCCAAGTTTGCACAGTAGTCCAGCTTCAACAAGAGGCTTAGAAGTTTCCTATAGCCAGAGGGTTCTATAGCCTGGAAGTAAAGGCACTCTTCTGGGAACTGGGAGATTATGGATGAACCTCCCGAGAGAAACAAGGGCAAGAAACCTGGATCTTCCACCTCCAATAAATGTTATGTAAAAGGTCAGCAACAGCATTATGTGCCTCTATTGGCTCTTAAATTGCGAGGGGATGGAGGCACAAAGTATAGCCTTAGTCCAAGTACACACTTGAGCAAGAACAGGAATTTAGTTTCATATTAGCTTATTCCAAGAGACTGCCTGCTCAGCATGTGAGATCTCTCAACTGTTTTCTGGGGACACCCACTCTTCCCAATGACTGGAGAAGGCATCTGCTTCCTTGAATTATCCTACTGGGGTCAGGCATTTAAGTGTTCAGGTGTTGTGACACTCATGTTGGAGGTGCCTGAAACTACCTCACCAGATCTTTACTTCATCAGCAATCCAGAAGATGAGTACTGTTCTGAAGATCCAGTGGAATCAGCAATATAATATTCTCTCTCAAAAGATACATTACAGAACTTCTAGCTTTTGCCAGAAAGTGCAAATATTTTAATTTCCTAGAAAAGGACTATCTAGAAATATTTGCCAGCACCTACTTAAAGACTTCACATTTTAAAAGGTCTACTAAAAACTTTTCCCAGCCGATTTATAAATGATAATGTGTGGATACCAGCTTCCATCAGCCCGCGGTGATACTTGGTGGCTACAACTGAGAAAATATACACCTTCAGAAAGCTCAAGTGCTTTCACAGATGAACATTTTTAATACGCTTAAAGAGAGAAAAGTCTTCTAAAGTAGGACTTAAGTTTTGTCCATGAGGGAACTTCAACACTGAACACTATGCTATAATAGCTCTACAAAAACACTTAGTAGCACTAGTTTATCTGTTTCATCTTTGAAAAATATTCACACTACACAATATTTGGATTTTTAGCTAACAAACAAAGCTTTAAGAAATCCAAAGGAACCAATTAAGATAGTTGTTTTTTTTTTAATTTGAGAAAGCTGCAATCAACATTTTATTTCTGCTAATTAAGGAATTCTTCCTGCTTTTTCAATAGTGCTCCAAAGCACTATGAAGTGACATGAAAAATTCCTCTGCATCCAATGGAAAGAGCACACTCTATTCTTACTTCATTGTACTGGAGGATTATGATCCAGATTAAAAAAAAAGAATTCTGTTTCTATATATTTTAAAAAATTCTTTCATTACTTCCTCCTCTATTTTATCCCTTTCTGGTTAAAGAAAATTCCTTCTTGTAAGAAACAGTGACACCAACTTTTTAGCCTATGAACAGATTAAGTTTAAGTAAATTACAGAGATGGTAAAATCTTCCTCGCTAAAAAGGCCCACAGCTGAACAAATACCATTTTTATTATATAAACAACTGTCTTTGGAGGGAGTAGTACAGAGCTAAAAGAACTATTAGATGTTCCACTGCCTAAAGTTAACAGCAAATCACTTAAATCCTTCAGGGGAAGACTGATTTTTTTAATTAACCCCCTCAGCAGCAGCAGTACTTGGTAGGTTCACACTTACCCCTGCCAGTTCTTGTTGAATAGGAGCAAGCTGGGCTTCAGAAGCAGGAATCAAAGTAGCACTGACTGAGGCAACAGTGGGAGCAGGAAGCTCAAAGTCACGCTCACCAGCTGATTCTGTGTGACCCAGACCACGGTGGGGGGACTCAGCCTCTCCCTGTGGGTCCTCTCCTGAATCCGACAAGCCTTTTTGCTCTGCAGAGGACTGGGAGCAAAAAAGACAATGTCCCTTCAATGCAAGGATGCAACATGATGGAGCAATTGTCCTAGTGAAAGGATGTACTGACCCTTTTTTTCAAAATTTCACCATTTTCATAGTCTGAGAAAAGGAATTGCTCCATGTTGGCACACTAATGAAAACAGGTTAAAATAACCTGAAATTTGATTATCCACCTTTAAATAAGCATCAGATGAAGCAAATAAACTTGAAAAAGGCAAAGTGCCAATGCCTCCTAACCAAAACACTTCTGCTAGCTGTAATTGTCCAAGGCTTTGGCATTTAGTTCTTCCCTCTTTTAAGCCTTGGCCAGCTGGTCTTAGTTGTCTCAATTTTTCTTACCCACTGGGATCAAAGGTAACAGAACCAGCAAGGAGACAACTCCTGGAAATAATGGACTATTTCACTGTTGTTGTTGTCATACATTTTAAAAACCTAGTAAACTGCACACTTTGGCCGTAACACACAGGTGATGAATATATTGCAATTCACACAAGAAGATATTATTTGTGTGTCACTATATTTTTTTAGAAGCAGTATTTTATTTTTGTTTTTTAAACACACAAATCTATTAACGGGTTGTTTTGTTTTTTTTAATTATGCCACAAGGTTTAGGAGCTTCAAGATTTATCCATTCTGCCATGGACTCCCTTTTAAACACATCAATCAAAATCACAGAATCTACTGCATCTCAGTTCCCCCACCTGTAGAAACAAGATCAACATTACCCTTATTCACAGGTATTTGAGGAGGACACCACATCTCAACTATTTACTGACCATAAGATTCAATGGCAATTTAGAACATAAGTATGCAAAGATTCAGTATGCTTTATGAAGTCATTTTTTCTGGTGATCTGAAGTATGAAGTGTTTTGAGAAGCAAGCTATGAAGAGACTGAGATCACTTTAGGGAGAAATCAGTGACTGGATAACTCTTAGAAAGTAATCTACAAAACAAGAAGAGTTTTGAGTAGAGTTTCACTGATAGAGATTTGGGGGGCTGATACTGATAGCTGATTTTAAGAAGGAGGCATATTAGCTGATAGCGATCTGATTTCTGCTACAGCTGCGTGCAGCTGTATGTCTGTCGTGGTGAAAGCGGAGGAAAGGAGCATTGGGGGGGTGCAGATCAATGCCCCCCGCAGTGAGGGAGGGAGCAGGGTTGGGGTGGGCACTGCCCAACCAGGGTGGGGTAGACCGGGGCAGAGCTGCAGCTCATCTGGGAGACGTAGGAGGGGGGAGCAGGTTACTCCAACTGCTCGTCCAGGAGGGCCAGGCAGGCTGCAGCGTTGCACTTGGGGCAAGCAGCAGCTGTGCTGGGAGAAGGGCTACAGGGGAAGGCTCTAGCCACCCCAAATTTTGCTCTAGCACCCCCCCCCCATAGTCCCCTCCCAGCACCACCACTGCCCACTCCAAAAGCAGCACAGCACAGCCCGCAACACAAGCCCACAGCTGCAGCCCGCCCTGCCCCACGCAGATCCAGGGGCGCACACCCCCTCACGTGGCCTCTTGGACCAGCAGCAGGAGTGGCCGAACAAGCGGCACCGGGGAGCCGCTCCCCACACACCGGACAAGCTACGGCTCCATCCCGCGCCCGCCCTACCCCAGTTGGGCAATGTCTACCCCAGCCCTACTCCCTCCCTCACTGCAAGGGGCATTGATCTCCCCCTCCAGCTTCCCTCCCCCTCCCCTTTCACTACAGACTTACCAGCTGCACGCAGCTCTTCATGCTGCCCAGCTGTGCTTCTCATGGACTGTGTGCTGCGCTGCAGCTGCATGCACGGACAGACATTTATTGGCCAAATCATCAGTCACATCAGGTCAATTTCCAACACAGTCCATTTTCTTTATAATCAGTGCCGATCAATATCAGACCAATGTATCAGTACACCTTAGCTTTGAGAATCGAGGTGCATCTAATAAGGAACAACCACCCCCATATATGTGGCTTAAATAGCACCCTTCATGTTTAAGCACCTTTCTTCGTTAAGGATTCAAAGCTTTTCACAATTATCATAAACAATATACCATCATTTCATTCGTTACTGACATGCAGCTACCTCTGCAATAAAACAAGAGCACTGTTTAATAAACAGACAGCAACATAAATGAAGACAATACACCCAGCTAAAACTACATGATTTATTTTAGGCAAACTTTAGTTACCCATGATGAAGAGCAAGAATTTGCTTTAGTGAAAAATAATTGAAATAATTAATAACTAAGTGGACAAAACTTCTATGTTAACATTTTATCTGAAAAAAATATGCTTTTCTCACAAATGTTCAGAATGCTGGGTTTTCAGGTTTTAAAAATAAAAGCGCTTTAAGGTATAAATGCTACTGAATCGAAACACCAAATCAAAATAATCAAGCAAGTGTGAAAGATAACAAGTGGAAAAGCACTTTTCCTACAATCAAACACACGAAAGAATGCCAGCAAAATACTGGCATTATGTGCTTTTCCCCCTTCTACCCCTCCCCTCACACACACCCAGGCCTTGCAAAGCCATTGTTCCCTTCACAGCTATAAAAGCTAGGCACATGCGAAATGCAAATACAGAACATATGAAAACCTGACAGCACTGCCTCAGCCTCCAATGTTCATGCCCCTCCAAGTGCTATTTCTAAATCAAGTAATCCATAACCATGAAGATAAAGGTGATAGACAAAACCATGAGTCTCGAAACAAAATGTCAGCTGTCCAGCCACTGCCAAAAACAAGAGCCCACAATTACCTCCTGATTCCTCTCACCCTCCCCACTGCCCCACTTTCATCTATACCCTTTATAGTACACATCACCAGTATCATATGTTGAACTACCAATTTCAAACAGTCACTGAAAATATTTTACAAGTTATGAAAGATAACTTACTAAACAAGAGCTCCCAATGCAGGAGTCAGAAAGATTAATATGGTGCTTAGTTACATTACTAGAAGACCTTAAAGTGGGCCTGGAGAGGCGATGTTATCTTTGAATATCCATCAGCATGACATGGATCATAACAGCCAATACCACTGGATGGTTTAACCCAGTAAATACTGCACAAGAACAGCAAACGGGCATTCACTCTGCATGCAGCATTTTTAAACCATTTCTGAAACTGTGTGTCAAATGATGGTGTCCACGCACTGAGAGAGAAAACTTAATAAGGTGTTAAGAGACTTTTAAGAATTATTAGAGGACTGGAAAAAATTATCTTACAAAACTAAAGCAGCTGAAATGCTGGTCAGACCAATGATCCATCCAGCCTAGTATGCTATGGTAGGAACATACTGGTATGTAGGAACAGGCGCTTCAGAGGGAGAGCATCAAGCCACGTAAATCTAGAGCAGGGGTTGTCAACAGGGGGTAGGCCCTAAGGGGTACAAGCGGGCAGGCAGGGACAGAGTACTGCCACCCACCACCCTGCACTACCACATCCCAGGACCAGGGCCTGGGGGGGTCACAAGGGCAGTGGTACCCCTTTACAGGCCACACAGGCACCGCCTGCCCGGCCAAGCGGGGGGGGAGGGGGGGGTGTTGCATGCCGCCACCAGTCCGTGTCCAGCCATGCACCCCTCCCCCCAGCTCCATGTCCAGCCACCAGGGGTACACTTAATAGATTAGGGGGTCTTCGACCTTTTTTAGAGTAATCCATGTCTTTTGGTCATTACCCTCCCTGGCATCCACTGTCATTGGTTCAGAGGTACCAGAGGAAATATCTCCAATTGTTCTGTTTAAACAGCTATTAATAGATCCATCAGCTATGAATTTGGTCATTCCCTTTTTTAACTGGGCTATACTATCTGCCTCTACAACCTCCTAAGACAATGACTTCCACAAGTTACTATATTTGCCTGAACCCAAGACAAACCTGAATTTAAGACAACCCCCCAATAAATAATGATAATAAATCTACACATGGAAAATTTATATAATCTAATTATTGGGGGGAAGGGTTGTCTTAAATTCATCCTCACCACCACTGCAGCAGGCAAAGCAGTTTGTTCCCTTCCATCTGCCCAGTCCCATCTACCGCACCCCCCACTTACCCTCCCCTTGTGCCTGCCTGCTGCCTTCCCCTTCTCCTCCCTGCACCACTTCTGCCTCCCCACACCCTTACCCTTGCTTCAGCACTGGCAGGCTCCATTACCACCACAGTCTCAGCACAGAGCATGCCCCCAGCCCAGGCCATAGCAGAGATGCAGGGCCAGGCTGGGGCCATGCTCCATGCTGCAGGATGGAGCCTGCTGGCACCAGAGCAAAAGCAAGCAGGATGGGGTGGGGGCAGAAGAGGCAAGGGATACAGAGGCTGCTGCCTCCCCTTTCTCATGGCCTTGTACTCTATTCTAAGACAAGGGGTTTTCCCCCTTCCTGGCTCTACCAGGTAGAATGTAGAAGAAAAAAAACCTTCCCTTGGAATCAAGTAAATACAGTAACTACACTGTGTGAATAGTTCTTCCTGTTCGATTTAAACCTGTTGCCTACTAACTTCAGTGGAACTTGGTGAATAATAGTTCCCTGTCCACTTTGTCCATGTCCTTCATGATGTTAGACCTATCAGACTCCTCCTCAGCCTGGTCTTTTCCAAACTGAAGAGGCTTAGACTTTTTTTTTTTTTTTTTTTTTTTAGCTTTCCTGGTATAACAACTGTTTCCATACCCATGATCATTTTGCTTGCCCTTCTCTGTACCTTTCCCAATTCCACTACATCAGTTTTAAGACACAGAATTGCACGCAATATTCAAGATGTGGGCACATCATAGATTTGTATACTGGCATGACAATGCTCTTCACTTTGTTTTCTATTCCCTTGTTAATGATGCTCAAGGTTTTATTGGCCTTTTTTTTTTTTTTTTATCCCTACCATACATTGAGCAGATGCTTTTAGAGAACTACCCAGAGTGACTCCAAGGTTTCTTTTCCAAGTCACAACAGCTAGTTCAGAACCCAGCATTGTATATCTGGGATTATTTTTACTCATATGCATTACCTTGCGCTTAC